AAAAACCCGTAAGACCGTAAACAAATATGCTCATATTTTTTGCTGCTAAGCTTCAATTTTTATTTTATCTTAAAGGTAGCGATTTTTTTCTCATAAATTTTTGTATTCCCAATGGTTTTCACGTAATTAATTATTTTGTAAGTCAACATCGACGCATTTTTGATTCAAATTTGATTTAAATTTTAAATGCCATAAAAAATTGAATTTATTTGATAGTAAGAACTAAATAATGCATCGTAGAGTGCGAAAACTTTTAACAGAATAAGTTTTCACGGGAATTGTTGAAAATAATAACAATATAATAATAATTAATATCATTAAAAATATATTAATTGCACTCATCTAATAATTATGCGAAAACAATAAAAGATTTATAAGGAGGAATAGACGAAAAGGGTCCCTGCGTTTATGTTTAAATGAGAACTGAATTTGTAAGCTCATCTACCAAAAAAATAGGTGCACATTGACTAAGGGTGGAATATTTTTCTCAGGTCTGTAAACACATACCAATTTCAATTTCAAGGATCTCCTTGACTGCTATGTCTCCATTAAACAGCATTGGAACAAACTTGGGGAGCATATCTTAATATAAAACTAAGTGCGAAATCTCGACTGACATAATTATGTTTTGCAAATAGCATACATATTTTTTAATACCCACTCACCGCATTGACAGTTTTGAAGCTGCTGACTCCACTGCCAGCTCTTGCTCTGTACATAAATACGTGCAATAAAAACTAAAATAAAACTGATTACAAACTAAAATCGAACTAATAATTTTTCTGTTTGTTACAAAAAAAGGACAATAAGCCATTTGCTACCACAACTATTAGCGTCTTTTTTATATTATTATCTATATAAGTCGGGAATGATTACAGAAGTTCTCAATAATTTTTGACAATTTTGATTATAATTAATTCTAAGCACCGCTTAATAGTTTCAGTGCATTCTGTCTATCATTAAAAAATTATCTTCAAGTTTTTAAACATCCTTTATAGCCATACGCATCTACCCTATATCGGTTCATTTGTGAATCACCTTGCCAACCAATAATCTTACAATGGTTATCCGTACTGAAACTCCTAATAGATTATTGTGTGGATTGGCGTCAATATTTTACTGGAACGATTATTTTCGAAATTGATGTATTTACTTTAAAGACTTTTTTCATAACTAAGTGAAAGGGTGTTTGCATGGAAAAGCAGGCAAACATACGTACCTATACATACTCAAAGAGCTTTGACTTTTACCAAATATAATATAAAATCGATTTGTGTCATTAAATGCTATATCCTCACGCGATATGTGTATTATATCCACTTTGTCACCAACTAATGGCTGCCATTAGGGTAATGCCATTTCAAACAAAATAACGGTATATAAATTTGTTTATAGCATAATACGATTTCTTTCATGAATTTTAACGACGATGGAGTGGTTACATTGAAATTATATAGATAGACATCAGTTACCTCGTTCAAATTTTAAGGTGCATATGTCGGGTGTTGCCATCGAAAAAAAAGACAGGGTGACAGCTGACAATTCAGGGTTATTAAAAATGAAGCGCTGCATAAATGAACAACGGGTTTTCATTGTTGAACAATATTTAAAACATAATAATGTATAAAATTAATAATAATAAAAAATAAAGTTCGGTTATTTTCTGAACAGACCTCGTATTTCATTTGTTGAGTAAAAGTATAATATAAACGTTTTTTATTGCTTTGAGGCTCCCTGTTTTCTAGTTACACCATTATACAGCCCAAATATTTTGTCTCTCACATCAAACTATAATGAGTATTACCATTAAATACATAACTCTGCCTTATTTTATTTCCTAATGTATTTCCCGATATTTTCCCTATTACCTACTAGGATTACGATGAAGCGATTTTATTCCATTTTGTTAGTAAGAACTAAAGGCTTTTAACCCCTCTAATATAATAGAGCCGTCAATATCAAAGCTCATTTGAAACCTATAAATATTATATAAGTTGAAAATGCCAATTTATCAACGTCAGACGTTTAATATTTGATGCCAAAAATGGAAACGGATCAGTTTTAATGTCTTGCAGGTTGTAATATCTAAATTAAATCGATAGCAATAATTGTCCGTAACTGTAACTGCTACACTGTTTTGACAAACAAAATACAAACTAAATTGATAAAATATATTCAGTGTGTTTCACTTAGTACTTACACTACTTACACTAGGAACTTGCTCAGAGGGAACAAATAGTAGAGGGAGTGCAGAATTTTAAAAAATCTTTACATTTTTAATTTTTCTAAAATTTAGGATGAGGCCGTAACACCATCCTGCCTATACCCTCAGTGGAACATTCAGGGGATAGCAAGAGGATGTGCCCTCTAAATATTAGTATTTTATTACTCTAAAAATATTTTGCTACATTTTTCAGTTACCTTAATTTAATAAAAATATTGTTTCTTATATAAGAAATCATTTTATATCCGTATAAAAACTTGTATGTACAGGGTGGTTGATTTTCGATAGTTTTATAGGGTACAGCCAAAACGATGATACCGTCCCGTCCTCTTTTTTTAAGTTTACTTCGCTGGTCTCAAAAGATCTTGGCTAACTTGATTAGTTTTAGATATACAGGGTTTTTTTGAAAAATGGCCCATTTACATTAACCTCTCTATCTCCGTTGTCATTCAATTTAGAAGAAAAAAGTGTGCACATTATTTGTTCTATTTTATATTAGGAAGCCATTGGCGTACACAGATTTTTTACAAATCGCACAGTTTCTCCGATATTGCATAAACATAGGTTTTTTTAAATAGAACACCCTGTATTTGGCCATCCCGTTGAGTAGCATTTTTTTTTACCTTTTCAGCCATACTTATATAATAATAGATACTTTTTATTTGCCTAAATGAAGAAAAATATAAAAAATGTATAGATATTTTTTCAGTTGCCCATGAGATTTGTTTAGTATTGGTCTCTTCGTTTTCTATTATTATTTTTATATTAAGACCTTAGAATTATAGTTAAGAACTTAGATTAAAAAATTAAAAGAAAAATTAAATTAGATTATCCATTTATCTTTACTTAATAGGTTTAATTATAGGTACACTTATAACTGTTATCTAAACATAAACTAAACAAAAATAACAACTATAAAATGAGAGAAACAACAATAAAACAAAAATGACATAACAGAGTCGCAGCAAGTGCTCGAATTGTCGGCCATTTTCGTTGATACATAACTGACAACGTTTGGCAATGGAACGGGTCGCATTGTAAATGTGAATATTTGACACCCGCTGAATATAGTTTTCAAAATGTTCCCTTAGCTCCTCGACATTATTAGCTCTATACTTATAAATTTTGTCTTTAACATCCCCCCAAAAATAAAAGTCTATAGGGGTTAGGTCTGGTGACCTAGGCGGCCACCTGTTTGGTCCGTACGTACCGATCCAATTGTCCCCGAAATTATGATTTAATAATTCTCTAACTATGTGGGAATTATGTGGAGGCGCACCATCATGCTGAAAGAACATATTATATCGTTGAGCTAGTGACATATCGTCCAGCAGTTCAATAATATTTTCTTGTAAAATTCTCACATATCTCTGAGCGTTAAGGTTTTCATCGTACATTTCGTAAGCTAACACTCTATTGTGGAAGAGAGCTACCCATACATGAAAACCAAATCGCCCTTGTTGAATTCTGGCCACAGTTTGGTGAGGATTAACATCTGACCAATAACGCGCATTATGCCGGTTGAATATACCTTCGCTGCTTATAAAAGCCTCGTCGGTCCAAATAACATTTTGAAAAAAATTGGGGTATACATGAGTTTGCTGCAAAAACCATTGGCAGAAAATGATGCGTCTCTCTTCATCTCCTGGATGCAAATGGTGGACTTTTCTTATAGTATATGGTCGAAACTTGTGTTTTTTTAAAATTCTCAATGCTTTGAATTTACCAATTCCTATCGTTCTTTGAATTTCTCTGCTGGATACGTTGGGATTTGCGACAACAAAAGCTAAAGTATTGATTTCATCATCTTCTCTATTCTGTATATTATAAGATTTAGCTCTCGGTTTTTGAAAAGAACCAAACTCACACAAATTATCATAGAGTCGGCTAAAAATTCTCTTTTCTGGCTGATGACGCTCTGGGTATCTCTCCAAATATAAGTTTAAAGCTGTGTCACTATTTTTTTCACTTTCAATGTAACACTCTAACATTTGAACTTTGTGAAGATTTTCGTATACCATTTTTATACTTTTCAAAATTAAAACCAAGTAATAGACGTTTAACAAGCTTTCAATCAGTCAAAAATAAACTAACTGTCAATATTAAACAACAAAAGACGAATAAATAAATAACATGGCCAACTGAAAAAATATCTATATCTACATTTTTGCATTTTTCTTCATTTAGGCAAATAAAAAGTATCTATTATTATGTATGGCTGAAAAGGTAAAAAAAAATGCTACTCAACGGGATGGCCAAATACAGGGTGTTCTATTTAAAAAAAACTATGTTTATGCAATATCGGAGAAACTGTGCGATTTGTAAAAAATCTGAGTACGCCAATGGCTTCCTAATAAAAAATAGAACAAATAATGTGTACACTTTTTTCTTCTAAATTGAATGACAACGGAGATAGAGAGGTTAATGTAAATGGGCCATATTTCAAAAAAACCCTGTATATCTAAAACTAATCAAGTTAGCCAAGATCTTTTGGGACCAGCGAAGTAAACTCAAAAAAAGAGGACGGGACATCGATATCAGATTTTTTGTATCTATCACCGTTTTGGCTGTACCCTATAAAACTATCGAAAATCAACCACCCTGTACATACTTTTCTGAGTATGTCAGTGTACCATTTGCTATTTTGGTTATACCTACCCTAAAATTTAAAATGTATTTTTATACAGCAAAGTTAGATATAACAAAAATATAGTTTTGCTTCAGTTATACCGGTATTAATAAAAAGTATAAAAACTAATAATTAGTTTTGTTACAGAAGACGATGTCAATTGATGGACAATGTAATATACTTCAGTCGTTAAGAAGCCACACCAGTGATGTTACTAGCTGTGATTTCGCCCCTAACTTTACTTTGGTAACAGGATCAAGGTAGGTAATTTTCTAACAACTTTTCATCATTTTATATATCCTTATACAGGCTGTTACAAATTCGCTTCTCACTACAGGAATCTCGGAAACGGTAAGAGCTACGAAGTAGCTTAAATGGGGGCAAAGTAGCTTAAATGGGGGCAAAGTTGCGTAATCAGGGGACCAACATTATGCCTCTAAAAAATCAAGGCTAACATGATTAGTTTTCGAAATATTTGAAATAAAAAATGAAATTTTGGAAATCCGTTTTTGTTTAACTTCAGCATTGTTTGNTACGAAGTAGCTTAAATGGGGGCAAAGTTGCGTAATCAGGGGACCAACATTATGCCTCTAAAAAATCAAGGCTAACATGATTAGTTTTCGAAATATTTGAAATAAAAAATGAAATTTTGGAAATCCGTTTTTGTTTAACTTCAGCATTGTTTGAGGTGATATTGAAAAAAGAACAATACTTTCACATGGCCACTTTTTGCCCTCTATCGAATGGCATAATTAGTTTTTGTATGTAACGTTTTGTCTCTCCAGGATCATCATCAACTTCATTTTTTTAAATACGGCCCTAGAAATTTTATTACATTTTTTTGCAAGCCTTCATTACCCCCAATACTGTATTACCTCAGGCCGAACCAGATTCAGACGTTTTGTCTCGAAAAATTCATCTTCAGTGTATTCGTTCCAAAGGACCCCGCACAAATCTTATGGAAATTGGGTCCCGGTCAAATTCGCTGAATTTTTGATATGTGATAGAGTTCATCATACTGGTCAATTGTCTCAATGGCCACAAAGGTCAAAAATGGATAGTTTGGCCGGTACAGAGCTTTAAAGCTCCGAATATCCTCCACGGATTTATGTATATGCGCAGTGTGTATAGACTTTTGAAATAGCCTATTTCATTTTTTTTATTATCTAGGTTTATATTTTTGAGGTTGCTGAATTCAGATCTGTTGTTAGATTTTCAAAATTGACAGTTGGCAGCTGTCAAATAGCTGTCAATGTGCTATAATAAAGCCAAAAACTTGTTTTTTTATGTTTTATCTTTCTTTTTTTT